GGTCAATGTGCCATTGCCGACCCTTTTCATTTTTAATAATGTCCTTAACATTAAGTCCCATTTAACAACCATTATTTGAATTTTTTTTAATTGCTCATTTTTAATTACACATTTACATAATAAAATATTTTACACGTAAATTTAAAAATTTTCTACTTTTTAACTACACATTCTCGTAAAGATCACTGTTCAAATATTTTTTTTCCTAAATGATGATTTTGGTCTACCTATATTACACAAGTTATTTTTTTGAATCTTGACTCTTAGAGCTCTTATAAATTTACTTGAGAGTAATACATAAGGTTTAAAATATAGTAAAATTATTAGCTAAAGTTAATAATAAGCATTTTTTTTTAAAATAAAAATAAAAGTCACTTATTCTTAAAGTAATAATATAGGGACTACTTTCATGAGGTAAAGGCTAAAACACGTTACTAGTCCACTCACGAGAAAGGGATCATACCATCCTTATGTGTAATTATACAGAAATAATTTACTGTTACACATATAAAAAGTACAGAAAAAAATAGAATTTTTTTTTTTTTTTTAAAGGTGTGTGTTAGGTGGAGTAAACAGTGAATATTGGTCAAGCGAGAAATATTTTTGTTGGAAGGGGGGAAATTCAATTTTTGCTAATGTAATTAAGCCATTATGCATGTCGGCCAAAATTTATACTTGTTTATAGGTTGTGGGTTTGTCGTTAAAAATAGATGGGTGATATTACATGTACATCGGAGTGTCCATAATGGTTTTCACTTCTCTCATATGGAGAAGGATCCACTTCGAATAAAATATAATTTATCAGAAGTGAGTTTCCTTCATGTAAAAGGGCAGACATCATCATGGATATCACATTATGTACAAATAACATAATTTAAAATGGATAAAAACAAAGTATTTTACGAAATGTGAAGTTAAAATCGAGTTTGATTGCTTTATAAATTAACCATAAGCTTTTAGGGGAATTTCCACATGATTGTAAAATGTCAACTTCACATCTCTTCCTACTTTTCCATACCAAACCTTTTCTTACTTCTACCAAACGCACTATTCCCTTGCTCACATTAATCATGGATGCAACAACTGAAATTAATAATTTAATAAACAACATAAAAATTAGCCTTAATAAATAACATCACGAGGAAAATACCATCGCGTCACCAGCCAATAATATTCAGCCACGTTAAGGGGTGAGTTATTTGCTGTACCAAGACCATGTGCATCCCGCCAACAGATCCAACTGCTATTTACGCGTAAACCTTATCACGTTTTAATTTCTGGTTGACAAATGGAACGTGAAATTGCCGTTTGCTTCATTTAGAAGCATAATAAATGGTGTATGTGTGGTCTACCTTTCGGCAGTACTGTTGAAATGCATTAAAAAATGAAAAATATTATTTACAGTTGCACACTATCTTAATCGCCCTACATGACATATATGTGAATATTAGTGATTTGTTGTATCAGATAATAAAAAACCACCATATTAATATATTAAATCACTAATCATTACATGTATGCCACGTAAGGCGATTATGACAATTAGCTACTGCAAATAGCATTATCCTTAAAAAATACTTTATCGTGTTATTCGTAGCGCCATTATCCCATCTCCTATTTTTTAAAAGTTGAGTAGTTAGTCCCTGTTTGACAACCATTAAAAAAAAATTGTTTTGGAAAAAAGAAAAATTTAATTGTGATTTTCAAAAATTTACATGCAAAATATTTTATTATCAAAATTTATGATTAAAAATAAATTTGAGAAAAAAAATGAATTTTGATTTAATGATTGTCAAATGGGTACTTAGAGGCGTTTGTTTTTCATTATTGTAAAAATGGGAATGAAAAATAAAATCGTTATGAGTTTCATACAAGAGATAAAATTCAAATTTGATAATTTGATATGATGAATAACGTCCATATTTTTCATTTTAATATAGAAATAATGTGAAACAAGTAGGGGCTTAATGAGAAATAGAATGTTTAGATATTAAAAATAGTGGAAATTACATTAAAAGGTGAATCCAATACTTTTAGATAATGCCCGTGATGTACTGATATCTTCTTTTAAGTGCAACCCAAATGTCGAAATATGCTTTCAGTAATGGAAATAAGATATTCAAGTGTACTAATAATATTAAACACTTGAGAAAAATTAAAATAACATCCATCTTCGATCATATTTGTAAGAATTATTCTAGTTGTATAATCGGGGTTAACAACTCCAATCGACAATGTAATCACAGGAGGGGGACCCACGATTTTTTTATTCAGCGTGGGCCATCTCCCATGTATGTGGTTGTCACTCTTGGTTGTACATGTAGCATAACTGTATTTGTAATGCTAGATGCCCAAAAAGGAGATGTTACATGATAACTCAACATTGGTTACTGTAGTTTTACCTATAAATGTCCTGGAATTCGATGAATTTATAGGTAACAAGGTCCATCAAAAAGGCAAATTGATTGCAAGTGTACTAATATTAAACACTTGAGAAAAATTAAAATAACATCCATCTCCAATCATATTTGTAAGAATTATTGTAATTGTACAATCGAGGTTGACAATCTCAGTTGGCAAAGTACTTACAAGAGAGGGGACACACGATTTTTATTTATTCAACGTGGGCCCCCTTCCATATGTGTGGTTGTCAACTCCAGTTATACATGTAGCATAACTGTATTTGTAATGCTAGATGTCCAAAAAGGATATATAATATGATAACTCGGCATTAGCTACTGTAGTTTTACCTCTAAATGTCCTAGAATTCGATGAATTTATCATAAGTAATTAGGTCAATCGAAAAGGCAAATTGATTGCAAGATTGGAAATAAGAAATTAACAATGATTGGGGTTGAGAAAAAAGCTGCAACTTTGAGTATGGTATTCAACGTGGAATTTGTTAGCTTTCCATGCGAAAAATCAAAAATGGAGTAGACAGTTTTATTTTATACGTTTATACCGTGTATTGATTCATCAAATCAGAGGTTGACATAGATGGACATTGTCTCCAAATATCACACTGAATTGAGGGTAACGTAGAATAAAATGATTTTGTGAGTGGGCATTATTGACAAGACCAACATATTTATGATTTATGGGAGGAATAAATCTAAATTTTATTAATTGATGGCGCTGTCTGTGTGGGAGGAATAAACCCTGAAATAAATGGAGTTGGTCACACTATATATTATTAAATCAATTTGTTCTTTGACTAATATGATTAATTAATTGAATGGAATGGAATTAATAATTGAATCAAGTAGGTGTTTAGTGAAGGAATCACATGACCAATAGGTCTTTCTAGTTATTATTAAATCATTCTCTACTTTGACTCTAAAACATTTATGGCCTGTTTGAGTGGCCAAGAATTCCTTGGAAAGTATTTTAACTTTCTAACTTTATCCTTGTTTGAAGGCATATATTTACCATGGAATTCGTATTCCATGTTTCCAGTCCACGCGCCACTTTTCCTCGTTTTTATGGAATTCTAATCCTTGTTGGAAATGGAAACAAATTCCATCCCTAATATCAATAAAATCAATCCCTTTAATTGATAATTTTCATATAAAACAAAGTCAAACGAGCACCAAAAAACACTTTTATTTCAACATATTCCACGTGAAAAATTATACCAATCAAATACAATAATTTATAATTCTCAGAAAAATAATTTCTAGGCAATTAAATTCCTTGGAATTCGTTTTCTTTCCATCCAAATTCCATCTTTTCAACCAAACGGAACCTTAGAGCCGATTTGATAAAAAAAAAATTAAACGGGATCTCACAAAAATACCCCTAAAATTAGGGATTTTTAAAAAAAATATATGAAAATAAAAAATATTATGTAAAATCAAGTATCATTTTTTGATTAAAAAAAAAGTTTTTGATTTGTCACTTTTTTATCCACAATATCACTTTTTAAAGTTAAACGTCACTTTTTTTTAAAATTTAAAAATGAAGTATAATATCTCTTTTATTAAAAAGTAACGTTTGTCACTCAAAAAAAGTAATAGAAATTTCAAGGAAGTGATAAATACTAAAAAAGTGACAAAACATTAGAATCAATTCAATAAAATGACAAAAAATTCGCTACTAATATTCTACTTTTGAGGTGGCTAGGATTGGGCTGAAGTCCAATCCAGTCCACAGTCCATTTAGTTTTTTATGGGTAAATAAACATTTTTATGCAATTTTTACATATTAGCTTGGCTTGAAATTTTTTTGTTTTTTTAAATTTAATCGCAGATTCTCCCCTACTTCTTGTGTTACATCCATTTTGAGAAACAATTTTTTTCTCGGTGCATTTATTGATTGATTTATTGCTCTTAAAATACAAGATATCACTTCTCCGTACAAGGTTTTCACAAAAATCTTTTACTATGCTTTTGGAATTTTTAATGCCATTCTGCCTTCAATTACACATGCGAGAGAAAGAGCGAAAAATACTTCTTATGTTGTTAAAAACCGACATTTCATCTATTAAGGACATATATGCATCAAAGATGAAATATGAGGTACTTAAATGTCATAAAAATTTCATCAGAGATTACATTAAATAAAGGTTGATAACCACAATTTCAACCTAATATGAAACTAAAATAGGAAACAAGTCGCCCCCAGGGCACATCTCCAAGTAGTAAAAGGGGAGGGTGAAGAAATCCAGCTTTACTTGAGGCTGCTGCGTCAAGGGTTCGAATCTTGAAATATGAATTTGGCTCTTGGGTAAGTGCAAGTGTACAAGCAGCCTTCCACCCTATACCCTTGGAGGCATAACTTGCGATTCACCTCCCTCACGATACTCCAGGACAGGGGTGGTGGGAGAACGTTAAAGTTATGGTTTAACCTTTTTTCAAACAGGAAACAAGTCGTTAACGGCACTTAACGGGGGGCAAACGGCGTAAATTTGCAGAGAGAGCGGGGGCATCAACAAGAACAGTGGGACCTGTAAATTCTTTTTAAGCGCCCCATATGTACCTCGTGCTCTTTTCTATTTTTATCTAAACTTCTTTAAATCCTCCATTTGCATTTTGAACTCAGCTACTTGTTCACACAAATAGAGAGAAATACTCCTTGAATTTATTGATATTTTCGAAGTACAAATTGCAGTCTTAGAGATCTTACATTTTTTTTTCAGATGGGTTCATTGGAAATTGTGGATTCCGGCAGGTTTTCCGGCCAGAGGTCCAACTTTTCCCAGAAATGTAGTTTGTTGAGTCAGTACTTGAAAGAGAAGGGTAGCTTTGGAGATCTTACTCTTGGACTCGCTAACAATTTTGAACCAAAAGGTATGAATTAAGGTCATATGGCTGGCTATATAAACCCCCTTCTCTCCTCCATGAAGAACAAGCGATCAAATCTATAATCTATGAGTTCCTAGATCTGTTTTTATTTCTTTCCTTTTCTGGGTTTTTGATTGGGTGAATATCCTAAAATTTTGTCGTTGTTTTTTTGTTTTCAAAAACAGGAGCTCCAGCAGCAACTAGGACCATGGATTTCTTCCCAGTTATGGAGAAATTCAGGGCCTCGACCCATAAGTTATCTGCTACAGAACTCAACACGCCCGCTATCCCCCAGAAGAAGACCCATCTCGGGTATAATTTGTTGCATGTTGCATTTATGGCTTTATTATGTTAATTTTTTAGCTTATAATTGTTTGATTTGATTTTATGTGACAGTGGGACAAAATCTGAGCCAGATGCTGCACAAATGACCATATTCTACGGCGGCCAAGTCATAGTTCTCAACGATTTTCCGGCTGAAAAGGCAAAGGAGATTATGCTTTTGGCCAGCAAGTCAAGTGCAGAAAACCACCCCACCGCCGCTGCCTTTGCTCCGCCGAGAATGGTCCAAAGTCCTGCTGAATCCGCCACCAATATCCCAGTTGCTGCCCCTGTTTCAAAGGCAGTTCCCAGTTTGATCCACAACCCTCCTCAGCCCTCCCTTGCCTCTGGTAATTGAGCTGCATAAAATCTTATTCTAATTTCTCATTACTTTCTTCATTTTATGTTCTTGACTTTTATTTTGAAGGGTATTTGTCTAATTTATATGTACTTTCTGTTCATTTGCAGATTTACCAATTGCTAGGAAAAATTCACTGGCCCGATTCCTGGAGAAGAGAAAAGATAGGTAGGTAGTCGAAATTAAACACGTTTATTTAAACAAGTTGACATAGAAGTAATTTGATCTTTAAGAAATAAGATTTTTTCTTTTCTTTTTCCATTTTTTTTTTCATTTTGATGGCTAAAATTGATGGTGATTATTATTATTGTTTGATTTCAGGATCACATCGAAAGCACCATACCAAGCAATGGCACCTCCAAAGGCAGTTAAAACTGAAGAATGGCTGGGATTGGCTCCTCAATATCCAACTTCAAATTGAGTTTTAATTAATTATAATTTGTATTTTGGGTCTATTAATTATTCTATATTATTTTACTTGTCTTGATTGACTTTGATTAAAAGCCAACTTGGTTTCATTATTACTTCGTCGAGTAAATTTCTAACTAATTAATCCGTGTAAGTATTTAAGAATAGAGAGAATATTTCCTTTTCAGCCTATATCTTTAGAATATATTCTTTTTATCTCTATATTGCTATCCTACTCTCTGTGAATGGATGTTTGCGGTGTCTATTTTTTTATTTTATTTTATTTTCCTTTTTATTAGATCATACTAATATTATTGTCGATTTTTATGGATTGATTTTGCTACTCGATTGAGATGGCCAATGGGTGAATTGTGTTAAAAGTAAAGTAGATGGATGGCACGTGGGTTAAAAGAAAAAAAATACTCGATTCTTGTTGACTTTTTAAGATAGAATTTCAAAATTCGAGTTGATATTAGAGTTAAAACAGCTTAAAAAAAGCTAGAAGAAGAAGTTAAATTTTAATATTTATGTCTTACTATGCAATGATGCATGTCAAGGATAAAAATCAATATGAATTTTGTTATTTGTACACTGATTTTTAACACTTTGGTTGATACTTGCATTGTTGTCAAGCGTCAACTAAATGAAAAAATTGTTTGAAATTTAAACTGTTCAATAAGGTAATATTATGTGGCAAAGTGTAAATTAAAGTGTACATTATTGGGTAAATGTAGCAAGGTTCAAAATAAAAATAAAAAATCATCAACTTTAAATAAACCAAACGAAAGAAGCAACAACCTTGTTTGATCACCATTGGATACAAAATACATTTTTTCTCTCTTTTTCTAATCGCACATTTTTTAAATAAAATTCCACTCAAACTCAATTCCTTATTTTTGAATCACATATTTTCTATCAATTTACTATTCTAAAAATACATTTTTAGCTAGAAATGAGGCTCAAACAGCGCTAATTTTTCCTCATCTTTCACTATTCTCTTTTTTTGCTTTTTTTTACTTTTTATCTATGAATGATCTAAACCTTTATTTGTTAGTATTATTTCACGTTTTAAACAATATTGATTGAACCTTGCTATATGTACACTATTTTTTTAATTTACACTTTGTCACATGACATTACCTTATTGAACGGTTTAAATTTCAAATAATTTTTCTTCCAGTTGACACTTGACAACAATGCAAGTGTCAACCAAAGTATTAAAAATCAGCCTACAAATAGCAAAATTCTTTTATTTTTTCCATTTTACGTAAATTGACAGAAAAAAGGGAGAAGATGCTATTCATAACCAAGTTAAAGGTTTAAAATGTTCGATACTGGTTTGATCCCCATTTGTTTAAAAATATTTTTCTCTATCCTTTTAATGGGTTTTATTTTGGTATCGTGTTCACAATTATATGCAAACCCATAATTTTTTTTTAATCATACAAATTTCACTAATTTACTATTTAAATGCATTCTTCTCTAAAAAAGAGTTTCAAATAGGCTTTAAAAAAGATTGATTGTAAATCAATAATGGATAACAAAGGTTAAGGACAAAAGTATAACCCAATCAAGTTTATTTATTTATTTATTTTTCCCTTTATGACGCGTTCTTAAGTTGAGTATTTTAAAAATCTAGGTATCCATACAAAAGTTAAAGTTTCAAAATAAAATAATAATCATGGCAAGTGGGTAGAAAAATGTTTGGTGGCCACTCACATCCTCACCCATTTTGATATCGTATTAAAGAATATTTTATATTGTCACATTGTTCATGTCTTGTCTTTTGGCCATTATCAATTGATGGAACAATATTATCGTGTGGGGTAGGGTGCATGGGTGTATTTTTATTTTTTTGGTGATCACATGTTGTGTTTGAATTTTGGAGTGGATGGTTTCAAAGGTACTTTCTAGTGGTTAAGGGTCACCTTCATTGACCCATTCTCCTCCTTTGTTAGCCAATCTTTGAGCTCCGTTTTTTTCTAGGATAATATATTTTATAATTATAATTTTTGAAAAATGTATAATTAAACTTTTTTACGAATAAAATTATTTTATTTGAAAAATATATAATTAAAAATGAGTTTTAAAAAAATGAGTTTTTTAAGAATGAAGTTCAAAAAGAGGTTATACGTCCAACTAACATACGCGCTCTCTCACTCTCCCTCTACACACAGCGTGTGTGGAGTTGGGGTTGATTATCAAAAATTAGTGCAAACGTATCATTCTCAATCAAAACCTTTTCTTTTCTCTCCTTCTTTGCCGACAATATAGGCTTGAATGGATGGGTAAATTGGTTTGGTTGTCGCATCACGGACGCTCTTCACTTCCACAAATTGAAAATTCCTCATGTTGTGATTTCCTTGACAAGTTGATCCTCATCCTTCATTTCAAATGCCCCAATGGAGCTACACTTTTGGTAGGAATTAGCTCTCCTATTGAGTTAAGTGAACTATGGGAAAGATTCACTCTTACATCGAGTTAGAGTAGATCGAGTGAAGCATGTTATGTGGTATCCATTAATACAATTAGCCCTAATTGACGAAACTAATCAAATCTTTATTAAATCATCATGTTACTGTTGCATTTCTAACTTTATGAAGTTAAAATTTTGTTCTCAACTAGGGCTTGGGTAAAAATATTTGATTTCCATTTTTTTTTTCAGAATACATTTTTCTTACTTTTTTTTAACTGCGCATTATTCAATAAAATAATATTATACATAAATTCAAAATATTTATTTATTTTTTAATCACGATTCCCTATCAATTTACTATTTTAATACATTCTAACCCCCAAAAATGGGCCGAACATTATGCTCTCATGGTTTATGGAGGAAAATTGCAAGGTTGGGTTTAAGTGGGATCCGCCCAACGCTTTTATACAAATCTTTCCAATCTTTTAATATTTTATTATTCTTGAAAAGTTATGGTTAAGGGCACAAATATTTGTGAACTTATTTGTCGTTGTCATGAAATGTTATTTCATGTTTGGTCTAGCCCATATTTGACATTCAATGAAAAGAGGCATTTTTTATTTTTTCTTTTTAAGGGAAAATGAGTTTTGAAATAATAATTTTTTATGAAGAATGTGTGATTAAAAAGTATGAAAATTTTAAATTTTAAATTTTTTAAGGGCCTAATTTGTTTTTCTTTCATGCAAAAATAGATTATAGAAAGTGTATTTAGTTGACAAATAATTATTTTTTTTTTTTAAACTTTATTTGAGCAGTTCACGTTGATAGTTTAAAATTTTGGAAAATATCATTTGTACACTCCAAGTGTACATCATGCTTAACATTCTCTTAGTTAGGGGTGGGCAAAAAAATCGAAAACCGGCCAAATCGATCATACTAAAACCGAGTCATGTCGGTTTGGATTGGGTTGGTTTGAATCAAAAAATTGGTTTGGTTTGATTTATTTTAACTATTTTAAAGTCGGGTTGGGTTGGTTACGGTTTAAGCAACCAACCCATTAATTAACCGACCCAACCCGCAAATACATTTTTTTTAATTTTAAAATTCATTTTTTGAACTTAAAAATAATAATAATAATAACAAAAATATAATTTTATCTCAAATAATTTGTTTACTGTCTATACCTTTTCTACCAAAACTTTAAATCTCCAAAGAAAAGAAAGCAAGAAGAAGAAATGTTTGATGTAAACTTCAAATTTAGATTGTAGACTTACTTTCATTGTGGAGTGAAATATATATATATATATATATATGTACAGGAAAAAAATTTATATGCATAAAAAAAATGTTTTAACCCAATATGAGCAAACAAATTTTTTTTATTTACTTGCACAAATTCCAAATCCATTAACCGACCCAAACCAATTTGGTTTGATTTGGTTCGGTTTCAACGACTAAATTGGGTCGGTTTGAGTTGGAATTTATCCAAACTGATCAAGTTGATTTCGATTTTGGGTTGGACTCAAAACCAACTCAATCCAAACCATGCCCATGGCTACTCTTCGTATTTGAAAAAATGATTGGAGGGAAAACTTTTTTTTCTTTTTTGAAATTGTCAAATGAATGTTTACTGTTAAACTTGATGTACATCAAGCATGATTTTAATTTTTTTGAAGTAAATTATTCAACATGATTCCTAAATAAAGAAAAATAAATATTATTTATAAATAACAAAATTAAATAATAGTTTACATATAGATGAAATAATAAAAAGAATGTGGATAATTTTCTTGAAGAGATTCTGACCAAAGTATATCTCACAACGTCAAATGTACGTAAATTATTATGTACAAGTAGTATAACCTAAGAAAGAATTACACTAAACCCTTATTACATCAGTTCAACTAAGCTCGAAATGTTTTCTTCAATTTATTTTTACTCGGAACAAGCTTAGCCCCCTATCTATCTATATTTAAAACATAACTATTTAATTCTCATACTCATTTTTCACAACAAATTTACACAATAAAATATTTTTCACTTAAATCCAAAAAAAAATTCCTTACATTTTAACCACATATAACATAAAATTACTATTTAAAACATAATTTAGGGACTCTACATGTAACACTAATATCAAATCAAATACAATCTTTTCGCGCATTTTATTAATGAGAAAACAAATATGGCTTTCTAAGCGAACAAATGTATTGTGTTTAGAAGTTTATGGTTAAATAAGTGGGAAATACATCTAAATAGCTTAATTAGAAGGAAGATTTTTGAAATTGGTCTAAGAAATAAAAACATTTGAAAAATAGCCTTCAAACAACTATCCTTCCAAAAATACCCCTTATAGGGAAATTGCAACCAAAGTCACTACAATGTATAAAAATCTTCAAATAGGTCCTCAAGAAAATATAGATCATAAATCTTTAATAAATTTAAATCCAAATATAATACAAAATTTTATTGATCTAAAAAATGTAACAGAAAGTGAATTAAACTATTTAGAAGAAGATCTGAAAGGATTCTTTACAGAATATTTAGATCCAAAATTAAAAAATAAAAACGTTATTATAAATAATAGTACAATAAAAACAGAAAATAATATATATAAAATAATTCTTAATCTGAGAAGAAGAATTAAAGAACTAAATGTAATTATTAAAGAAAATGTATTAATAGAAAATGGCGAATTTTATAAATTCTATTGTGATATTTTAAAAACCTATGAAGAATTTAATTGGCTCAAAAATATTAACCCCTCCGCTGCACATTCCGATGAAATGGTATCTGAGCATGCATG